AAAATATAATAATAATATATAATATGTGTGTGTGTAAAATGATTAAGAAATATAGTAGATAATTTTATATATATCCTAGACAGAGCACAAAATATTAAAAGATGACAAAAAATTGTATTTCCTAAGTCATCTTTTCGGTGAAGCAAAAATATGTTTATAATACAACTTTTCGTTTTGCCGAAAAGACGACTTAAAAAAGGCATTTTTTCATCGTCTTTTTATAGATGTTTTTTTTGCGAAGCAAAAAAATTACTAAAAAATGTCTTTTCGACTAAATGAAAAATTCATTTGCTTGTCGCTATGCGACACGCTATGCATTGTTTATTTCGTATTTTACGTTTTAGTCTCATGAGAACTATATAAAACCTGCAAAACGCGGCTAATATAAGATTGTAATTATTTCTATTAGTTTAATTTCTGATATAATCCCCATACAGGGATTTTAGATATTAAACTCATAGATAAATATATAGGATAAACCAGCTCCTCTCTCTTCAGTGAGAGACAGTGTAAAAGCATATGAAGGACAGAAATAGCATTCTGCCTCTTTCTGTTGGCATAGTGAGGACTGGTAGAGGAAGGTGAAGACCCCGTGGTGAAAACAAAGCGACCAAATGCTTCTTTTCATGCACATGTATTCGCTTTTATCCCTTCTACTCTTACTTAAGCAAGGACAGAAATAGCATTGTAGGAATCGCTGTCCTTCATATGTTTCCATGTTGTATACCACGGCAGGGGCCGGTCTATCCTATACTCTATCCAAAACGAGAATGATCTCGGTTCGCGCATAAGCGGGCAAAGTGGGGAGAACATGGCGAGATACTCAATACCGTATACGTAGATACGGCTCTCACGGGCCCGGGACTATTATCTCATGTCAGTTTAAAAAATTAAACGGATGATACAGAATGATATGGAGCATTGTCCATGACAATAACAGCATTACCATCTAATGATGGTAAAATATTTTTAAACCATTCGTGAAATGTGTCACCGTTCATTTCGTCGTGGTAATCCCCCGTATGTTTCTTCGATTCAAAGCATAGAAGTCCGCCAGGAACGAAACCAGCAACACTGCCAATATGCAAAACAATTAATCGTTTGCCTTTTCCGCTTGGATTAGCTGGTCCCGTTGTCAATCCTCGAAGAAATGCATCCTTCTTGGATTTAATTGTTTTATCTATCCAAACTTTATTTGTGACATCACCGGCGTTAACCCAAGTTTCGTCCAGATAATAAATTTGCCGGCCCTCTTCTCTGTATTTTTTTATAGCCCTCAGGTAATTTCTCCTCCAAATAATTAGATCTTCTCTCTCTGTTAGTATGCTGTTGCGGTGTCGGGTGGTATATGCAAAATTTAAGTCTTTTAATAATAAATGAAAGGTCGATCGTTTAAAATTTGGAAGATCTTCGTCGGCGTTTACGGCTTGCAGAACTTTGTTCAATGTTGGTAATTCTTTATTGATGTAAAATCCGTGCACTTTTCTCCGAATGGCATTTTTATCACATTCGTCGATTTTTTCTCTGAAATATAGGTAACGTTTTCTTTTATTTGGAGATGTAACCGATCCTGTATTCTTATATTCCGACAATATTTTTTTTATGCTCGTAATACCAAAACCCGTCTGTTCTGCCAATTGAGTAACAGCATCATGATTGGGGGGATCTGTCACTCGTTGCTAGCACTGACAAGCTGGGCTGTGTTCCGATTCCCCACCTGGGTGCACCCGATATTATAGTATACGTGACATATCACTATAATATTGGGTGCATCCGGGTGGGGAATCGGACTCGATTGTCGCTTCTTACTATGCCTTAAACGTTTTTTTCAGCCTTTTCGTATGAGATATATTATTTATTATATATCTATTATATAATATATTTATGATTAAGATACGTATATAAATTACTTAAAGTTTTTAATCCACGTAAAAATGCATTTTAAATCGATGATTTGAAAGAAATTAGTGACAATAATTTTTTTACACACTTGCTTTTGCAAATATGATGTCAATTAGTGACAATAATTTCTTTACACACTTGCTTTTGCAAATGTGATGTCAATTAGTGACAATGATTTTTTTACACACTTGCTTTTGCAAATGTGATGTCAAATAGTGACAATAATTTTTTTACACACTTGTTTTTACAAGTGTGATGTCAATTAGTGACAACAATTTTTTACACACTTGCTTTGCAAGTGTGATGTCAATTAGTGACAACAATTTTTTACACACTTGCTTTGCAAGTGTGATGTCAATTAGTGACAACAATTTTTTACACACTTGCTTTGCAAGTGTGATGTCAATTAGTGACAATAATTTTTTTACACACTTATTTTTGCAAGTGTGATGTCAATTAGTGACAACAATTTTTTACACACTTGCTTTGCAAGTGTGATGTCAATTAGTGACAACAATTTTTTACACACTTGCTTTGCAAGTGTGATGTCAATTAGTGACAACAATTTTTTACACACTTGCTTTGCAAGTGTGATGTCAATTAGTGACAACAATTTTTTACACACTTGCTTTGCAAGTGTGATGTCAATTAGTGACAACAATTTTTTACACACTTGCTTTGCAAGTGTGATGTCAATTAGTGACAATAAATTTTTTACACACTTGCTTTTGCAAATGTGATGTCAATTAGTGACAATAATTTTTTTACACACTTATTTTTGCAAGTGTGATGTCAATTAGTGACAACAATTTTTTACACACTTGCTTTGCAAGTGTGATGTCAATTAGTGACAACAATTTTTTACACACTTGCTTTGCAAGTGTGATGTCAATTAGTGACAACAATTTTTTACACACTTGCTTTGCAAGTGTGATGTCAATTAGTGACAACAATTTTTTACACACTTGCTTTGCAAGTGTGATGTCAATTAGTGACAACAATTTTTTACACACTTGCTTTGCAAGTGTGATGTCAATTAGTGACAATAAATTTTTTACACACTTGCTTTTGCAAATGTGATGTCAATTAGTGACAATAATATTTTTACACACTTGCTTTTGCAAATGTGATATCAATTAGTGACAATTATATTTTTACACACTTGCTTTTGCAAATGTGATATCAATTAGTGACAATTATATTTTTACACACTTGCTTTTGCAAATGTGATATCAATTAGTGACAATTATATTTTTACACACTTGCTTTTGCAAATGTGATATCAATTAGTGACAATTATATTTTTACACACTTGCTTTTGCAAATGTGATATCAATTAGTGACAATTATATTTTTACACACTTGCTTTTGCAAATGTGATGTCAATTAGTGACAATAATTTTTTTACACACTTGCTTTTGCAAATGTGATATCAATTAGTGACAATTATATTTTTACACACTTGCTTTTTTTGTTTCCTGAAAACATTCAGTAAATTCTTCATAAATAGCAGCACGCTTAGGACTACTATTAATATAATTTGCTATCTTTTTAAAAACTCCTCGCAATATTCCGGTATTTTAGCACATGCAGCATGTGCAGCTAATGCCGCGGAATGGCATGGACATGGAAATGTTAATAAATTTGTACAAAATTCTTCTAACTTTTTTTTAAATGAGAGATGTTTACCTGTCATGACAGATGCATTGTCGCATGACAAGGCAACAATATTTCCAAATGGAATGTTTAATTTCCACATTTCACATTTAAATGCATTAAATAATTTTTCCGCGCTACTATTTTTTGCGTCAATATTAATTAATTTAATTAATTGCGTGCGAATGTCTAATGTTTCAAGATCAACATACCGTACAAGAAACGTCATCCATTTTTCATTACAAATATCAGATGTTTCATCAATAAAAATGGAAAATTTAGTATTTTGAATGCTGTTGACCATACGGTTCGTCTCGATCGGACACAATATATTCGAAATAATATTTTTACATTTTGTTCGACCCATACTCATACTTTTTAATACGTTAGGATCTTTTCCTATTTGTTGAAAAAAGTTAAGGATATCTTTTGCCGTTTGATGCAAAATATTCTTATCAGCAATTAATGCGGCATATCGAATTTCTGCTGATTTTTTCCGGTCTTTAAACGGCAAAAGTGAGTCATCCATCATGTTAAAATTTTCATCCATGTTCATTGTTTCTGTCTTCTTTTCTTTACATATTTTTATATGTGCTTCGGATTCTGCGTGACGATAAATGTGAGATAAATCACCAATCATAGATTTATTACAAAATGAGCAAAAAAATGTATTAATGCCATCTGATATTTCACGTAACCATGGCTGAAATAATTCGATCTCTAGCCATTGTGCTTTAAATTTATATTTAGATTTTGATATATTTTTATGTGAACTTATATCAATATTATCTAATAAAGTATTTTCTTTAATATTATTTTTGTGACACGCAGAATTCGCATGTCTTAAAACATGTGTGTTGCACGAAATATTTTTATTACATATGATGCAATGATAAAAACCATCATCAGAAGATACTTTACGTATCCAACATTTAATTCTATCATCACTAAGCCAAGCTTCTGAAAAGCTTCGCTTAGATTTTTTTCTTAATTCATCACACATTTCTATAACAAAAAGTAGATAGAAACAAAGAACGACAGAAGAATGAATAAAAGGAAAGATTAATAATAAAAAAATTAATAGAAATAATATAGAAATATAGAAATAAATATAGATATTTGAAATAACTTACAATCACAATTGCTTCAGCTTCTTGGGTACCAAGATTTTACAAGACACGTATAAAAAAATACGTTGACTCGCAAAGAGCAACAAGATTATCTTACAGAAGCGCCGTGAAACAGTAGCAGTACAACGTATAAAACAAATGCGCGGCGTATGAAACAACTTAAATAATGTCGAGTGCTTCAGTTCTCTGTGAAACATCGCACACAACGTATCGTCATGTCCCGTAAGTAAATCAAATTATTATTATTTGTATTTTTTAAGAAAGTTTAATATTTAATTTTTATCTTCTCCTTTCTCTTACATAATATATTTTATTTTTATAGAAGAAATAAATGGAGATGCGGCAAATTTGCAACAGTTGATGCAACAGTTGTTGCATCAACAAAAATTGCAAGAAGAGAGGCAACAACTGTTGCATCAACAATTGCAATATTTGCAAAAGAAGCAGGAGGAGGAGCAGCAGCAGCAACAACAGCAGCAGCAGCAGCAGCAGGAGCTGCAGCCACAGCCGTTGCCGGAAAAAATGGATGAAAATGGTATATTTTTATTATTTATTCTTTTTCATTAAAATATTAATAAATATGCATAGTTATATTATCATTCATTGTTTATTACTTATCTGTATATATCTATTTTTTCAGAAATACATACAAAAAGAGCAGGCGGCCGATCCCGCGCCAGCTGGTATTACCAGCGGGGTGGCAGGGGCTTTAAAAATAAAGGTAGTGGCCGAGGAAGGGGCGTCCCTGGCGGCCGAGGAAGAGTCGTCCCTGGCGGCCGAGGAAGAGGCGTCCCTGGCGGCCGAGGAAGAAATACGTGGGGCCGTAGTGGTCCCACAGTAATCAAAAATTATATTTTTAATTAAAAATAAAACAAAATAAAAATTAATAAAAAATAATATATAATTGGGGAATAATTATTTAAAAAATTTTTTCCTTTATCCTTTTTTCCTTCATATAAAATAGAGCATATTATATAATCTAATGTGGTATGATATGGCTACAGGCGAAGATCCACGTTAAAAAAATCTTACGCGCCATTGGTGGTACCTCATATAGGTGGTGTGGAAAATCATCATTCAGTATCGTTTGACAACGACAGAAACGTATAAATGTGGTCCGTATATACGTTTGTGTATTGTAATGATATTGTAAATATGTATGTATAGAAACTAAAGTTAAATATTATTATATGACATATTTTTTAAATATTTAAACTTTCTTATAGTACTTTTCATTATTTTTAATCATTTGTCGGAAAATCGATACATTTTTCGTACAATAAAATGTATGATTTTTCCTTTTGTTGTCTCCACACGGATATTCCTTCTTTCAAATCATCGATTTAAAATGCATTTTTACGTGGATTAAAAACTTTAAGTAATTTATATACGTATCTTAATCATAAATATATTATATAATAGATATATAATAGATAATATATCTCATACGAAAAGGCTGAAAAAAACATTTAAGGCATAGCAAGAAGCGACAATCGAGAAGCGACCAA